AGAGGCAGCCCCTACACTCCTTGTTCTCTGTTCCTCTCCTTTTAGAATGGGCATCAAGGCCACAGTAGGCAAAATGAGGAAGGATATGAGGTTGGGCCACTGAGTGCCCCCTTTGGGACTTCCCCTTCCCCCTCCTCCTCCCCGCTCCTCAGGCTACATCAGCATCCTTTCCCATTCTAGCTGGTGCGGGAAGCAATGATGACATGAGGTTATTGAGATGCTAGGAGTGGAAATAATTTTGCAGAACTTGCACTGCATGCACCAAGGTGACTGCTGGAAATATCTGGTTGTGCTTCACAGACCCCCCCTGCAAACATGGCTGTCTCACTCTGCATACGACCGCAGGAGCCTATTTCCATTTGCTGACCCCTCAAGGACACACTCACAGCATAAGCACATTGCTCAAGTTCTCTCTGTGCCTATGTGCATGACTATTATGCATAACTCTGCTGGGTTGTTTCTGTCCATAAATGGAGCCTGGAGGTAGCTACTCACCAGGATATTTTAAAAAAGCAAATAAAAATGATTTTGCTACAAAAAATATTTGAGGTTTTAGAAACTAATCTCCACATGTCAGATTCCTCCCTGGGGTCTGGCTTTCTCATCCTTGCTTGGCCTCGTCTGTTGCATTTCAGACATGGCTTGATTTCTTTCTGCCCCAGTTCTCTAGGTCAATGCAAATTGTCAAGGCGATCAAATATTTCCTGCAGCGTTCCATGCGTAGGTTCTGCATAGAGCAGAAACAGGAGAAAAGAAATAAAGGTTGCCTGGGAAGCCAAAGAAAAGATTCTGAAGGTATGACAATGGGGTATGACAATGGGGACATTTGCAGATTACCGCTGGCTGGCTACTCAGGCACAGCTCCTTACTGCCATGTGGAAACAGAGGCCCAGCACACCAAGTCTTCCACTTCCTCAAGAGGAGTCAGAAGGCCAGGTCCTTACATAGATTGTTTTGATTTTTAATTGTTAGCTCAAAACACTGTGCGGCCAAACAAAACACAACTTGGGGGCCAGATGTAGGCCATGAAGTTGTCAGAAAGCAACTCTATCTAGAATGTAAGCAACATGAGCTCAGGAAGTAGGGCCTGGTGCATGACGAGGGAATGAGTGAGGTCCTTCCTTGGGCAGAGGGTGGACTGTCCTAGGAGAGACAATGGGAAGAGATGCTGGCAACATGGCGGGGGGGTCCTCATAATCAAGGGGGGGAATAACTATAGAGTGAATGAACTTGAGCCACAGTCGCTGGGATGGAAAGGAAAGGGTGAAATAGCAGTAGACAAGCAAAAGAATTTCCAAAAAGCAGAACTCAGCAAAAGACCAGATGTGCAGGACTAGGGCAGTGATGAATCTTCCAGAGGAAGCCTGCCATGAACTTGGCCAGAGGGCTGAGGGGCTGGTCACGGGGGAGAGAAGGTAAACACATTTTTCTCCACTAGCTTCAAAGCCCTTCATCTGCCTCCTCCAGACAACCTTCTTTTTTCCTCCTCTGTTCTCCCACAAAGGGGACCTGGGGTACCCAGAGGCCCCAGCACCAACAGAACCAGAGCCAAACCTATAGGTAATTATGTGCTGAGGTATTCATTCAGAAGACACTGTGAGCAGAGTTAACAGAGGAATGGGCCCGTCAGGGGAGAAGCACCAGAGAGGGACGGCATCTCTAGGGAAGTGGCGAGAACAGCTTGGGCTACTCGGTGTCATAGCACATTGGCTGAATGGTGTGGAAGCAACAACAGGAGTGGATGAGAGAGACTCAAATCGTTCTCAAGTTATAGATTATCAAAGCATGGGACAAGCCTTGGGTTCCAGTCCACAATTTTCCTAATGACTCACAAAGTCAAGAAAAAAATACTACAAAGAAAAGTGTTCCCGACAAGTGAGAAAAGGCAGACTCAAGTCTACTTCTCCGCTAAACAAGATGAGTCTTCTCATGGCGTGACTTTTGCGGGCGTCAGTCTACAAGAGGACGTTTATGATGATCAAATTGGGTTGGAGGCCTGGACAAATCTGTTTTCACTTTAAAAGATAAACTTTATCAGGAGTTTAAGAACAAGAACAACTACCACCACTTGTTAACCAAAGAATTATTACAGTAGATAATATTTACTTCCTGGCTAACTAATTAGTAAATTAGTGATTGCTAACTAAGGATCAAGGCACTATACCAGCGATGGCGAACCTATGACACGCGTGTCAGAGGTGACACGCAAACTCATTTTTTTTGGTTGATTTTTCTTTGTTAAATGGCATTTAAATATATAAAATAAATATCAAAAATATAAGTCTTTGTTTTACTATGGTTGCAAATATCAAAAAATTTCTATATGTGACACAGCACCAGAGTTAAGTTAGGTTTTTTCAAAATGCTGACACGCTGAGCTCAAAAGGTTCGCCATCACTGCACTATACCAAGCCCTTTAAATGCACAATCTTGCCCTAGCCGGTTTGGCTCAGTGGATAGAGCGTCAGCCTGCAGACTGAAGGGTCCCAGGTTCAATTCTGGTCAAGGGCATGTACCTTGGTTGCAGGCACATCCCCAGTAGGGGGTGTGCAGGAGGCGGCTGATCGATGTTTCTCTCTCATCGATGTTTCTAACTCTCTATCCCTCTCCCTTCCTCTCTGTAAAAAATCAATAAAAAATATTTTTAAAAAATGTACTATCTTGTAAATATTTACGACAATTCTATAAAGGAGCTGGTGGCATCAACTCCAGTTTATCCATTAGGAATAAAAGCAAGACCTAGAGATGTCATGTCATCTGCCCAAGGTGACAAAGTACCTGAGTGACAGAGCTGAGACACTTCATTTCCGGGGCCCCTGTTCTAAGCCAGGGGTCAGCAAACATTTCCTACAAAGGACCAGATAGCAAATACTTTTGACCTTGTGGGCAATATGGTCTCTGTCACAACCACTAGACTCTGCCACTAAAGTACAAAAGCAGCCGTAGACAAAAGCAGGACATAAACATTGGGCATACCTGTGTCCCAACACAACTTTATTCACGGACACTGAAATTAGAATTTCATATCATTTTCACGTGTGGGGGAATATAATTCCTCTTTTAATTTCCCCCCAGCCATTCAAAAAAGTAAAAAACATTCCTAGCTCGTGGGCCGTAAGAAGACAGAAGGTGGGCTGAATCTTTTCCCATGGGCTATAATTTGCAGATCCCGACCTACACCACGAGGCTCTCTTGCCTTCGGACTCACATCCTTAGAAGCCTGGAGACACGTTAGAATGAAACCTGTCAGAGGGCGTCTGGACAGGGCACACAACTCGGAAATACAATTGTGAGAAAAGACTGGACAGAGATGACTCTTCAAGTTACCCCTCTCAAAGGACACCGCCTCACCCCAGTTTACAAGTTGAAATACCTCTTTCTTCCTTTCGGTCCACTGCCTTGCTCCCTTCTGTTGAAATAAACCTTGATTCAGGTCAGTCTGAAACCAGGGCAGATTCTCGGTAAAACAGCAATGCCCTTCCCGCACATGGCTTTCTGCAAACAGGAGCCCACTGTGCCCTTCTTACCTGCAGGGTCTGGCTGAAGCGCTTTAGCGGTGTAGCCTTCACGGGCGGGATGAGGTTTGCTAGTGATGTGACTCTGGAAAGGGGTTTGACCCGTTTATTACTTGGCTCCTATAGATCAAAAAAATAAAGAAAAGAAGGAAGAAATGAAAATGTCGTCAATTATGAAGAAAACATAACTCCACCACAAGTCCTCCCCATTCATGAGCTGTACACGGATCTGTGAAATGCAAACAGTGCCCTGTCTCACTCCAGCTGCGCGGAGGTGACCTGGCTTAGGCGCCCGAAGGAGCAGTGGCAGCCAGATGTCCACAGAAGCAGCCTCTGAGCGCACAGCTCATGGGCCCAGATCTGCTCCCTGCTCCCACTCCAATATCTGCCAGTTTTTAACTCAGTAAGAGCATTCTTCCCAAACCCTCCTGAGAGAAAAGCTGCCTCAGATTCCCCATCCAATGACCTTGTCAGGCGGCTGCCTTTGATACTTCTGGCTTTTTCTTTTGAAAAACCTTTCCTTCACCTTGCCTAAAGCCACTCTCCACATTTCTTTATGCAATGGATTTTCTAAAGCATAGTTAATTAAATTTAAAAAAAATTTAAAGAAGTTCTTCTATTCCTGGGCTCTTAAAAAAGCATATTTGCATCTTCAGTATATTTGAAATGTACACATTAATACTTACAAAGAATAATCAGACAGCAGAAGAAAAGGCACAAAGAGAAACCCTGCCATGGGCATCGGTTTCTATATTATATACAACCGTAAGCTTTGAAAATCACCTCCATCACCTTCGGCATAAAACATTGTCAAAACTGCACGTTACCCCAAACCAAGCTGATGGGGGAGAGGGAGCCTATCCGTCCCAGTGACTTTGCAGACAAGAATTACAGAAATCAAACAGCAGACTGAAAGACAGAGAGGACAGACAAAACATCCTGCAAGGACAAAGAGAACAGTTACCCTTGTCTTCCTAAGCTCCATCTGACCTGCGGTGGACGCTGGACAGCACATGAACACACCAGATTTTAACGGAAAAGGCCAAACGTGACAAACGTTGTGGCGAACCTCAATCATTTCCACAGGGAGTCTCAAGGTGCTCATCTTTCTTTTTCAGCCATCGCTTTCTCTCAGAGTTGCGAGGGGTAAGCCAGAACTTCCGCTTCTCCAGGACGTCCCTGCAGGGTGTCCTGAACATAGTAGGTGCTTGGGAAAATCTCGTCTGGATTTGGAATTCTGCCAAATGTCATTTTATGCCCTTGCCAGCCTCGGAAATCAGAAGCCTTCTTGGACACAGACCCAACTTTTCTGGCATTTAAATACAAAAATAAGAACAATTCTACAATGTGGCCAGGAGTGATGGCACGGTTTCTCGAAGCAGTGAAGCACTTTTCCAAGACAGAGAATGAATCCAGGCTGCCGGCTACCTCGCCAGCTTCTCGGCTTGCTGAGCTGAGCAGACAGCGGGAAACTCTCCCAACCCTGGGAAGGCTCAGTTCCAAAACGCAAAAGATAAATCTCTCAGCGAAAGAGACCTCACATTCTAATTCCTGGGGTGGCGGAGAGAAAGATCCACTAGCCCTCTGCTTCCAGGTGACAGTGCCCTTCAGGATGCTCTCGTCCGAGTCCTGGCTCCTGAGCGTCTGTCCTCAGAGGAGGATTTTAAAAATATGCTTTACGTCAGAGCTGCATCACTGGCATAATGAACACACACACACACACACACACACACGTGCACACACACACACACTCTTGAGCACCCCCTGAATTCCTCTAAGTGGGTGCTGCCTTAGGCTGGCAATGCCAGCATAGTGATATTACCACCTTTGGTGGCATGAACGGCACTGCAGCAAGTGAGGTGAGAGATTTCCTGGGGTGGGGGCCAGGGCTTGGTCTCCAGTAATCCTGCACCCACCTCAGAACCTGGAGACTCCTGGGCCTCTGTTTCTTTAACGGCTAAAGCGGCTGGGTCACAGGGTCTATGTCAGAATGGGGAGATGGAAGGGCAAGTGCCAATTGAGTTCTCTCGCTTTAAAAGGGGGCAGGGAGCATTGCACGCTCGGCAGGATAGGAGAAGACTCAGCTCTGTTCCACTGCTGTGTCATCTTTTCTAAGGTTCTGCTGACTTTGCTGTCCTTTTCCATGACCCAGTTGGATGGGCGTTTTCTGTGCAGCTACAGAACGCACGCATGATGCAAACGGATGCAAACGCCAGCTCCGCTGCAGGCTGTGCAGTGCTGCTAATGAGACTGCAATGAAAGCTCCCTTCCTAAGGCACTGGCCATGTGGAAGTAAACATCAGGCTGCTCTCTGCCAGTCTCATTCCCAAGTAACGGACAACTGAACCAGAAACTAGGGTTGCGTGACTTAGTGCTGCGATCCAGCAAAGCAGGCAGGTGCGATTTTAAAACCAGAACATTTACAGGCTACTGGGTCTATGGAGGTTTTATGCATGACCCACATGAGTAAAATATGGAATTATGGTGTGCTCTTGGAGGGCTTCAGTGAGAACAGGCGATTAAAAAAAAAATCTTGGCCTAATTTGATTTTTCTTTTCCATTTAGTCAGTATGTCTCCAGCTACCTTTAACTGCTGTCTAAAAAGAGCCCTCAGGGAAAATGTTTCCAGAGTCTAGTTAAATAGCTCTACTCAGAACTAGCAAATGCACTACCAGGGTTGCTTCCGGGCTTTACAGAGAGATGACAGAATACGACTTGCAGAGGCTTCCGAGTCCAACAACTCGACCGCCAGACCAAGCTGGGCAGGGTCAATGCTAAACCTAGGAGCAAGGTGTCCTGCTTCAAGTGCAGACACCGCCCTCACCATGCAACTTCAAGACAGAGCAGAAGGGCAGCACACTAAATAAGTTTAAAAGAGAAAAGTAAAAGGCATTGCTTGTTTTGTGTAGGCAGCACTTTCTGAATAACAAGACAGTTCTGTTGCATCTTTTCCAGCCTTATAGCTTTTTGTTTTTCTTGTCTTATTGCACTGGCTAGGACCACCTGTATATTGTTGATTACGGTGAACTAGTGTGTACACTAGTCTAATTCCTGAATCAGAAGTGATTATTATGAAGCTTTCATCCTTAAGTATTATGTTTCTTAAGAGCATGGACAAGACACCCCTTTTCAAGTAGAGAAAGTTCCCTTCATGCTAAGTTTGCTGTGAATTGTTATCATGAATCCATATTAACTTTTATCAAATGTTTTTTTCTTTTTTTCAGAGGACAAGGAAGGGAGAAAAATAAAGGGAAAAAAGAAGAGAGGGTAGGAGGAAAGGGAGAATGAAGAAAGGCATGAAGGTCATATTTTTTTCATCAATGAGGGCATGTGCCCTGACTGAGAATCGAACCAGCAACCTTTCAGTGCATAGGATGATGCCCAACCAACTGAGCCACACTGGCCAGGGCTAGCACAATTTTTTTATTCCTTCAAAAATAATTCCATTCTAATAGGCATGACATAAGGAAACCCCCACTCATTCTCCCTGCACCTCATTGTTGCAGCCTGAGTGGGGCTGGGAGCCACACCACAGTTGTAGCTGCCCCGAGACCGAGACTATCTTCACTGGGCCATAAACACAGCCCAGAGGGCCCAGGAGCACAGCCACAGGTGCGGGACTTAGACTGTTCTACTGCAAGGCAGCACTGCTCCTGGCTGCTCTGCATCTGGCCAGGAGCAAGGGAGAGGAGAATCAAGTGTGCCAGCAGCAGATGCTTTTGCCCATGAGTTGTTGGAGTCATAAAAACATGCCTTTCCGGTGCTTGGAAATACCAGGGAAGGGTTATGGAGAGCTCCATCTGTGTAACAGGAGGTGTGCAGATCCCAGGGGTCACATTTCACCCACCCAGTAACCCTCTAGGATGCTTTCATCACCTTCATGCTAAAAAGGAAGTTCCAACCTCAGAGTAATTGAGGAGCTCTAGCATTATGAAATAAGAACGAGCTAACAACAGAGTGATATGCCCTTCTTGGTGCATTATGTCACTATATGCTATTACTGCTGATGTTAACTTTGACCTGTTGGATAAGGTGGTGTTATGGGTTGAACTGTGTCCCTCCCAAAAGATGTGCTGAAGTTCTACCCCCCCGAACCTACGAATATAACCTTATATGGAAATAGGATCTTTGCTGAGGTAATCAGGTTAGGATGGAGCCACACTAGATTACAGTGGGACTTAAATCCAATCACTGGTGTCCTTATAAGAAAGGAAATTTAGGCAGAGACACACAGGAAGAATGCCAGGCGATGACAAAGAGAGCAGCTAGAGTGATTTATCTACAACACACAGAACACAGAAGACTGACAGCCAACACCAGGAGCTAGGAAGGCAAGAAAGGATTCTCCCACGGGTTTCAGAGGGATCATGGCTGTGCTGAGACCTTAACTCTGGACTTCTAGTCCCCAGAGCCATGAAAAATAAATTTCTGTTATTCGAAGCCACCAGCATGTGGTACTTGGTTAGAGCAGCCCTGGGAAAGGAATACAGGTGTGTCTGTCGGATTTCTCGATTGTAAAGTTACTAGCACAGTAGCCACCCCCACCACCCTCGGGGAAAATGTTCCAAGACTCCCAGGGGATGCCTGAAAGGGACTGTACTGAACTATATATACGATGTGTTTTTCCTAAACATACATATCTATGATCAAGTTTTATGTTTTTATCATCTTAACTAAGCACTTATCATGCACTGTGGCCATAACTTTTGCAGTTTGAGCAAAACTAGCACAATGTTCTTTTTCCTTCTTTACAATTTCACAGAAGATTTGTTCTTACTGCAGAGTTTAGCAACCTCAGCATTTAAGTTTTTTTCTTTCCTTACATAGAGAAATTTCACCTTGTCACTTAAAGGACGCACTTTATGGCTTCTCTTTGGCATATCTGAATTGCCAATATCACTACTCTTGTGCTTTGGGCCATTAGTAAGTAAAGTAGGGGTGACTTGAACACAAGCACTGCCGTTACCCTGAGAGGTGATCTGATAACTGAGATGCTACTAACTGGCTAATGGGCAGGGAGCATATGCAGCATGAATTTGTTGGACAAAGGGATGATTCATGTCCTGAGCAGCACAGCACGAGATTTCATTACACCACCCAGAACAGTGGGCAATTTAAAACTTATGAACTGTTTGTCTCTGGAATTTTCCATTTAATATTTTGGAGGGTGGTAGACAGCAGGTAACTGAAATTGCACCACGGATAAGGGAGAACTACTGCCCTTCCTTTGTAATGAATACATATATTGGAAGAGATACTTTGTGACTATGTGCATCCTTTTAAATCCAATTCTGCCAGTGTTTACCCAGCACCTGCGAAGTGGGCTTCACTGACAGGTGCACTAGGAAGAGCATCTCCCAGTGAGCAGGGGGAGCCAGAGGTTGATCCAGGCAGAGTGCCCGGGAGAGTCAGTGTTGGCTACAGCGGGCAAGGAGTGGGGCATGTGGGCATCAGGCAGGGCATCCCCAGTGGCTGCAGGGCAGAGAGGCAGCAATGAGGAGGCCTGAGCAGAGCAGTGGGGCTGCAGAAACAGGAAGGGGAGCTTCTCTGGAGCCTGAAAGTGACTCTTCACCTTATATCAATGTATTTATTTATTTACTTATTTAGAAAATAGGAAAAACAATAAAGAAATAATGGTTTCTAACTCCAAAATTTCCATAAAAAATATTTTTTTCTGTTCTCTTTCCTCTGGCATCTGTTCCCAGAAATTGAAAAGAAAAAAATGAGTCCCAAATCTAATGGAAACCTGGCTTCACTGATTAGGCCAAAGCCATTTCAGATTTATCGACTTCTAACCCATAAGGTGAGCAAAAGATCTTCAAATCCAGACCTATAATTTTCCCCAAGAGATGCTTATCAGTGATTCCAACAAAGGACTACATGCGCTGTGGACGTTGATAAACCACCCGGAACAGCTCCCAAGGGAGCCCGATACCTTTGCCTTGGCTCCCCTCAAAGACGGAGGCCACTCCCCTCTGTTTATTTTCTCCAGGAGTCAGGCTGCCTTGCTCCAGCACCCAAGGGAGATCTGATTTCCTCTTTGATAATATGGCCCAACTCTCTCCCTACCGGACCCTTTAAGGAAAAC